TGTTTACCATGCTCTATTCAACAAATGTTATCAAAGTTGATTTTTTTATGGTGGTGTAATAAATATTTCTATGGTGGTGTAGACATGAAGGGGTAAACAAATAAATTTGCCATCGTTAAATTAATACATTTTCCCATGGTCTAAACAGAAACAATTTGGCATCTCTAAAGTAATAAATTTTCCATGGTCCGAAATAAAATTTTGTTGTGGTGTCAAATACAGAAGTAGCATGGTCCAAACAAAGAAAATTTGCCATGGTTGAAAAATAAAATCCACCATGGTGCAAACATAAAGTTTCCATGGTTTAAAAATTAAATAAGTGCCATGCAATGAATTATGACTTTGCCATGGTTCAAAAAATTAAAATGCCATGAAAAGGAAGATGTTTTTGCCATGGATTAAAAAGTAAATTTGCCACGGCCAAAAAATAAAAATTGACATGGTCTAACTTACAAAATTGCCATGTCCAAACAATACGGTTGAAGGAAAAAAAACAAACATTATCAATAAGTTTGCCATGGTTAAATGAGTTCCGTCTTTCAAACAATATATCACTACTACACCAGACCACTATTAAGCCCCCTAAATCGCGCACCATAGGGAAAAACTGTGTGTGAAAGTAGCATAAGAGACGCTTAAAAATAGAACAGTTTGCAAAAAAAATATGTGTGATCGTAGGTACATCACGCATGACCAAAAAAGTTAATGTATGCGACAGGTCTCATACAGTTCTTCGGAATGAAACATAAGAGATGACCTAATTTGTTGCATACGGGAACTTCTGGATGATTGTGGGCTAAAACTGGCAAACATGTCGAGTTTTGGAATTGTGTGTGATGACAACTACACATCGCATACAAGTTCAATAGATAATCCGTGTGCGATACAGTTCACATAATTATTGGGAAGCAATTGTGTATGATGCTTCAAGTTTCACAAACAACTATTTCTAGGAGAATGTGTGTAAAGATCACAACGGCTCATGTGTTTTTAGCCCAAATCGCATACGACTAACTCTTCTGAAATGGGCATGATTGACATCAGTATAAATATATTCTCCGAAGATAGTTTGACTCACAATAACCCCAATGAACCAAACACCCAAGAACCACCATAGAAGCAGTGACCAGCAGTAGCCCGTGATAAATCGAATACCGAGCGGCAACTTCGAGTGAAGCACCGAGGAAGCCTACCCTGGGAGAACTGAACGAAATCAAAATTCATTGCCGACATGTAAATGCCACAGCACCACCACCCAAATTGAAAAAAAAGCAAGATAAATAGAGGGGAAAGAATGAGACGTACCACACTGCCCAAAAGCGAGACTGTGAAGGCAGAAGACAAGCATCCTAAGCAGAGACGAAGCCCCCTTCCCCCCAACCACACATCCCCAATCAAACCAGCAACAAAGGCGCAATGGAGACGATGGGCCTCCCACGAGGGCTCCACCAAAACATCAAAACCCCTCCAATTCCACCACCGCAGGGATGCCGGGGGCAGCCAACAGTGGCGAGGAACGAGCGGACGAAGACACTCCAGCAACACGGGTGCTCGGCTGCTCGCACAGGCCGACCCCGTTGAACCGCAAACACAACGAGAACGCAGCAAATGCAGGCTCCCAGCGAGGGCGGCCAAAACATTCCCCAGCCCATGGTCTTCCCTGTATCTCACGCCCAATAATCCTAGACACGCGGACCTATTATGGGCTTTTATGGAATTTCCTCAACTAATCTCACGTCCCCCATCTTGACCATAAAGACCTTCCCCTCATCGAAAGCCTATGTCCACCCCCTCAATGCTGACCAAAAGGGACCACCCAACGTGATACCTGGTCAAAATTGCATACAACCGGCCAAATCTATGTTATCAATTGATTATCAGCTCTCCTCCAACCCCTAGGGAGCTTTATTGAATTAAGGGATATTTCAACTAATAGGCATCTAAGTGTGGAAAGGTGGAGATGTATTGTGTGTGTTGCTTGGATCACATGGAACTATCGATCACTTACTCTTTATGTGTCATGTTGCGAGATATGCTTTGAATATAGCTTGTGGTGCACATATTTTTTCGAGGATGATTCTGAAAGTTTAGGAATTGCTGGAATGTCGATGACCACAAGGTGTGTTCTGTTTTCTGCAAGTGTGTTTCCTTCTTTTAAGTTTTAGTCCTTTACTTTCCTTCTTGTAAGAATCTTTGATAGTTCCCTGCCAAGAAAAAGAATCTTCAATAGAAATGGTGGGAGGAGCCTTGCTAAAAAATGTGTCCGTATACCCCCAATGGAGTAGACGTGTCGATTAGTTCCACAAAAAGATACAAGTAACGTACTGGCCAAAACCGAAGCCCATATCTCTGCCACTATTAGCCTACACTTTATTTTTGTGGGAGCCTATACTTGGTTGGATCGATCATTGTTGTCACATCACCACCATCCAAATTGAATAGAAAACAAGATAAATAGAGGGGAAAGAATGAGACATACCATGCTGCCCAAAAGCGAGATTGCGAAGGCAGAAGACAAGCATCCTAAGCGGAGACGAAGCCCCCTTCCCCCTGACCACACACCCCAAACCGAACCAGCAATGGAGGTGCAATGGAGATGATTGGCCTCCCACGAGCGCTCCACCAAAACATCAAAACCCCTCCAATGCTGCCACCCACAAGGACGCCGGGGGCAGCCAACAATTGCAAGGAACGAGCGGACGGAGACACTCCAAACAACACGGGTGCTCGACTGTTCGCACCGGCCAACTCCCTTGAACCGCAAGCGGAGCGCGAACGCAGCAAATGCAAGCTCACAGCGAGGGCGGCCAAAGCATTCCCCAGCTTATGCTCTTCCCTGTATCTCATGCCCAATAATCCTAGACATGCGGACCTATTATGGGCTTTTACGGATTTTCCTCAACTAATCTCATGCCCCCCATCTTGAGCACAAGGACCTCCCCCTCACTGAAAGCCATGCCCACCCCCCTCAACAGTGACCAAAAGGGACCACCCATTGTGTGACCTTGTCAAAATTGCATACAACCGGCCAAATCTATGTTATCAATTGATTATCGGTTCTCCAACCACTAGGGAGCTTATTGAATTAAGGGATATTTCAACTAATAGGCATCTAAGTGTGGAAATGTGGAGATATATTGTGTGTGTTCCGTGGAGCACATGAAAGTATCGATCACTTACTCTTTATGTGTCATGTTGCGAGATATGCTTTGAATATAGCTTTATGGCACACATATTTTTTCGAGGATGATTCTGAATGTTTAGGAATTGCTGAAATGTCGATGACCACAACGCGTGTTCTGTTTTCTGCAAGTGTGTTTCCTTCTTTTAAGTTTCAGTCCTTTACTTTCCTTCTTGTAAGAATCTTTAATAGTTCCCCGCAAAAAAAAAAGAAGAGAAAATTCTTCGATAGAAATGGTGGGATGAGCCTTGCTAAAAATGTTTTGTCCGTATACCCTCGATGGAGTAGACGCGTCGATTAGTTCCACAAAAAGATACAAGTAACGTACTGGCCGAAACCGAAGCCCATATCTCTGCTACTGTTAGCCTATACTTTATTTTGTGGGAGCCTATACTTGGTTGGATCGATCGTTGTTGTCACTTGTAGCTACCTATATATGTACAGCTAGCTGGACACATGGTATATCTACATGGTTATGGGTAGGTACATCGTACATGCCATATATGAGTTGCTCTACTTGCCACGACAAGTGTGGGCTGACCCGCCACTTCCCTCGACAAGTGTCGACCGAGTACGAACCCACATGTACGTACGTACACACAACTGGTGATGATGCATGCACACTCCCTAGGCATGCGGCTCCCCACTTAAGAGCACGCGTACAAAGCTGGTGATGTCAACACAGTCAAGTGAAGTACACGTACTAGTAAGTGCATCCATCCATCCATCCATCCGATCGATGATCCCGGGCCGACGTAAGCGCGCACCGCCCTCCTTATCCTCGGCATGTCTCCCTCCCGTCTCCTTCCCAACGAACGCAGCAGGATCAAACAAATGTGGTAAGTGTTAATCAGCACTGCCGATCTGATTTTAATTTTGCACCAACTGATGCTCCGTTTTCAGTCTTTGGAAGCTGTGGCGTATTCCCCTTGCGGCTTGTGACGTGCACTTCTTCTTCATCCTTCAGTTTGCAAATCTGTGTTCGTTTCCTTTCATGCAATAACTTGTAAAGAAAATTAGACAACTGTTAAGAACATGAAAATGCTCCCCCTTGATTCCAGTAGCCCCCTGGCCTTTAGGTTTCTTGCCACTTCCTACACACAAGCATAGTTCCAAATCAAGCTTTATTGATGCAAGAATGTAGCGTCTATCTACATCCGCAAATACAAACGTAAAGCACGTGACATATATATGGCCATATATAATAGACAATAGTAATGAACAAGTCTCTTTAGTTGAACACTTCATTTCCTTCCCTTTCCATTTGTTTGGTTGCACTTTTGTGTGCCAAGATACATACACACACACACACACGAGATTGAGCTGAGATATGATCAGTACCATCAGAGTCATCATGAAATGTATTAGGTTACATTTTATTTACTTGTTATTTTGGTCAAACATATGAAAGTTTGAGATCTAGAAAAAAAGCATACATTATATTGTGAAACGGAGGGGTATTATATGTGTCCACTTTCAGAGATATGCTTCGATTCATAATGAATGCACGAATACATCCGTATCCTACATGTAATCGAGCGCATTGCCGCGTTTATTATTTCCATCCAATCCTTGGTCATGGCTTAGCAAGGAAACTTTGTATTTTTCTGCTAATCATTAATTTTCCAGCTTTGCTGTGATCAAATACACTAGCTGGGCTTTTTCTCACGTCCAGCCATTCGGAAAACCTTCCATAAATCCTCCTTTACTCTACGCAATCTCTAGCTAGCTGGCCTTTTTCTCTCCTTGCCAATATAAACGTGCCCCCGTCGCCAATTCACCATTACAATCCATCGTCCCCTACTACTCATCGACCACGATGGCGCGTGCGGCAATGGCTATCTCCTCCGGGGCGGCGGGCCCGGGCGCGGTGGCGCCGCGCCGCCGCAGGTCGACGGTGCTCCTGATGGCCAACTACGCGGCGCTGCTGGTCGGGTCGGTGGCGTCGAGCCTGCTGTCCCGGTTCTACTTCCACCACGGCGGCAAGAACAAGTGGGTGGTCACCCTGGTGCAGTCGGCGGGGTTCCCGACGCTGGTGGTCGCCGTGTTCCTCGCCGGCCGCCCCCGCCCCGCCTCCGCGCCGCGGCCGTTCCTGTGGTTCTCGCGCCGGTTCCTGGCCGTGTGCCTGGCCATCGGCGCGCTCATGGGCGTCAGCAACCTGCTCTTCGCCTACAGCACGTCGCTCCTGCCGGTGTCCACTTCGTCGCTGCTGCTGTCCATGCAGCTCGCCTTCACGCTCGTCCTCGCCGTCGTCATCGTCCGCCACCCGCTCACCTTCAACAACCTCAACGCCGTCGTGCTCATGACGCTCTGCTCCGTGCTCCTCGCGCTCCGGTCTGGGGACGCCGGCGAGAGCCCAAACCGGAGGGGGTACATCATCGGCTACGTCGTCACGCTTTGCGCGGCGGGGCTCTTCTCGGCGTACCTCCCCGTCATGGAGCTTGTGTACCGGGAGGCGGTCTCCGGCGGGTTCATCCTCGCGGTGGAGGTGCAGGCGGTGATGCAGGCCATGGCTTCCGTGGAGGCAGCGGTCGGGCTGGCGGTTTCGCGCGGCTTCAGCGACGACGTGGCCCACTGGAAGGGGTCGCACGCCGTGTACTGGGTCGTGGTGGCGACGCTGGTGGTGACGTGGCAGGCGTGCTTCATGGGCACCGCCGGCGTGATCTACCTGACGTCGTCGCTGCACAGCGGCGTGTGCATGGCGGCGGTGCTCACGGCCAACGTGATCGGCGGCGTCCTGGTGTTCGGCGACCCGTTCGGCCCCGAGAAGGCCGTCGCTACCGCGCTCTGCGTCTGGGGCTTCTCCTCGTACCTCTACGGCGAGTACACCAAGAGCAAGAAGAAAGCCGCCGGTGGTCAGGACGACGGCACTACCCTCCCCAGCGCCGGCGACGACGGCGAGAGCGTGCACAAGAGCCTCACGGCCGCCGCCTCCGGCGAGACCGTCCAAACCGTTTGAGCAAAACGAGGCAGTGCCGGCCACAGGGGGTACGCACGAATCATGTGACCGATAGCAATGGATGCTGAAAATTTCTTGGTGCGTAGTACCCCGAGAAAGCAAAGTGGCAGCATAGATGATGCATTAGGTGTAGACGTGTCATGTTGCATCTATTAGGCAATGTGCTATATTTACAGCTCACAAAAGGACAAGAATGGATGCTTGTTTGGTGGCTCGGCCTTGTGAGTTTCTCTTCAGGGTTATTCGCAAACAAAAAAAGGTTCTCTTCAGGGTTTTGCAGAGCATGGATGCACGGGCGTGCCAAAAACTTGCACATTAATGTACTACCATCAAGGCATCAACAGGGACATGCCTTCTTGGTCAAGTACTTCAGGGTACGTTTGCAAGCCAAAGTATTTTTGTGGTTTTTTAGAAATACTGTGATTTCTGAAAAAACTTTGGTATTCAAAACTTTGAGTTGTTTGGATGAAGAAAATATTGCAGTTTAACAAACCGTGGTATCTCTAAAACTTGGTATTTTTGTTGTATATAAAAAAAGAGGCCCTGGCCTCTTTTCTTAAAACCGAGAAAGCGTTGGCTGCTTGGTCTCCCTTGTGTCCAACTTCTGGCCATCAACGTCTGTGATGCATAAATCGATAGCTATCCCATCGGTATGGGCGTACACGTACACGGGCTGCAAACGTCGACCTGCAGTGCATGTGTTAACTACCTCGGACTTTGATTGATTACAAGAGATAACTCTACTACAGATCCTAGCATCTAGAAGAACATGCTCGTGCAAGGCTATTAGTACAAGTTGATCCCTGACTGTAGCTGAATATGCATGCAACAACGTAACAGTCGATTCAAACCAAAGAAAACCGAGAAAAACTGCCACTTGCCAAACACCTCGACAATTTTATCAAAACTGAGAAAAACTATGATTTTTAGAAACTGAAATATTTATTTCCCATGTATTGAAATACTTAGGTTTTGGAATACCATGGTTTTGGAATACCATGTATTTTTAGAAAATGAAAGTATTTATTGTATTATTGGCTTTTCGTGGTAATTTGAGCTCGATGAGATCCTGACATCGTGTTGTTTCAGAGTATGGACATATATTAGTGCCCGAAACCTGGGATTTGTAAAATAATGGCCGATTAATAGTTAACCGATAAAATTGATTAATCATTTAGTTTCTGATTAATTTCTAATCCTCAGCCGACCGAGACACTAACGATAAGCGATATCCTCAACAGTAGTCATAACGCAAGGGAGGTATTCAATATTCCTACAACACCCATTGTATAATGTGTAAATTTTCCACAACAGGCTGAATACAGAGAGCGGTCAATCCATTGGTGTTGGACTGAATTTGTGCGGACCTTCAACATCCAGGAAGAAATAATATAGGTATTTGTCTTCTACAACCTACTGAATCAGCTTCATAATTCCTTTCACCGTTTGTGATGCTACTTTTTGAAGGATTTAGATGTCGAGTGTGAAGTGCTATTGTGGTGCTTGTTTAATTTAGTCCTTGTATTATTTTGTACTAATTCATATGGTTTTACTGTGATGTCACTTATGCAACTGTGGTTGAACATATGTTGGATATGAAATATGTTCTGGTTCCTATGCTGAAATTCAAATTCTGACCAATTTACTTGCAAGGATAAATTATGAGAAAACAAACCTGCTATATTGATAATCAGTTATCTTGTACATTGTTCAAGGCAACAAACTCGGCGCCAAGTGCAAGGTAAACTGGGACATGGTTTGCCGCCCGTGCGAATATGGCGGCCTTGGGGTTCTCAACACCGATAAATTCGCGCGGGCCTTGCGCTTGAGATGGCCATGGTTTGAGTGGACGGCACCACAAAAGTTGTGGGTGGGCTTGGGAAATACATGTAATGAGGAGGACCTTGACTTCTTCTATGCGTCCACGACCATCACCATGGGGAACGGCGCTAAAACGCCTTTTTGGGATTCTCCCTGGCTCCATGGGTGCAAGCCTAAGGATGTTGCCCCGCTCGTCTTTGCGGCCTCCTCAAGGAAGAATTGGAAGGTGCGGGAGGCCCTACAAAATAATGCATGGATCCTCAAGCTCAACACCTCCACGGTTGTCTCCGTTCAGCACATCCGACAATTCTTCACGCTATGGGCACTTGTGAACGATGTGCATCTGGACGCACTCTCTGAAGATACTATTGTGTGGAAGCATACGACAAGCGGGCACTACACTGCGGCCTCCGCCTACAAAGCCCAATTTCTTGGCTTGGTTCTCTCTCCCATGGACCAAATGGTTTGGAAAGCTTGGGCGCCACCAAAGGCTAAATTCTTCGCTTGGTTGGCTATCCAAGACAGAATTTGGACCGCGGATAGACTACAAAAATGTGGATGGCCAAATTGTGGTCTTTGCACCCTCTGCAAGCGAGAGCAAGAAAGTGGACCGCATCTTTTCTTCAAATGCCGCTTCACTATTAGGCTATGGAACTTGGTCACTGCAAAACTTGGGCTTCATCATATGGACACCTCTATGTGGCATGTTGAGAGTTCGGTTAAGGAATGGTGGACAAATAGGACCGGCGCCGGAGTCCCCAACAGGAAGGCCATGGCCTCTCTAACCATGCTCGTGTCATGGACCATTTGGAACGAGCGGAATGCGCGTGTTTTCCGGAACAAGAGTGCTCCACCACCAATCTTACTAAACAACATCATCTGCGAGGCAAACCTTTGGATCACCGACGGAGCAAAAAAATTAAGGAACATTATTTTGCGTGAGTAATCTTCCATGCCGTGTAAAAGTGTGCCCTTGTAACAAACTCTATCCTCTTCTTATTTAATAGATGAGGCAAATCTTTTGCCTCCGTTACGAAAAAAAAAGGCAACAAACTCTGTGCAATGAACACCTACACCACACACGATTATGCCATAGGCAGATTCTGTGATAGCAAACCAAAACACACGTTCCTCCTTAACAAACCATGTGCGATGGGCGCCAGCAACACATGCATTTTCTTGTAAGCAACTGTCTACAATTAGAACCGCACCACAAACTTACACGTTTTTGTTGTTACTAATCGTGTGGGATGGATGCCCCATCTTCCCACATTTCATTGTACCCAATTATATACACACCCCGCGGTCCCAAAATAAGTGTCGCTGACATAGTACAAAGTTGTACTAAGGTAGCAACACTTATTTTGGAGCGAAGGGAGTATGTGCTATTGAAATCATGAACACACACATTTCATTGTTACTAATCATGTGAGATGGATGCGCGTTTTGTTGTATCAAATTGTGTGTGTGATGTCACCCTCCTTCACACATGCTTCTTTTCACACAAAACTTGTGTGATGGAGCAACCCATTGCACATGTTTTTCTGCAATCTAGTGCAATGCGCACTGAGGTGCGGTGATGGTTTGACAATCCGTGTGTCGGTGTGAGTGAGATGACGGAATGTTTATCAATGAACACTTTTTATTATTCTCAAAAATAGTTGGGAAAAAACCGAAATGTTTATCATGAAAATGTTATCAGGAGACAAAGCTCATCACTCCGAAAGAAATGCAAGAACAGTGATGTCCAGCACGTATGTCAGCCTCAATGACACTATGACAGCAGTGCACGTATGTCAGCCCTCCTAGCCGCGTCGTGTGCCACTTGATCGATCGGTTTCTATTTTTAGCCGCCTGCCTAGCGCATAGTAAATAGCTTCGTTGACAAACTTTGCTTTCGTGTACTTACTGCGTGACCCGTCACCGACCCTCACGTCGCTGTTGCATCATATGGCGCTCATGCATTTCTCTGTAGATAAACACACTACAGTCTGATTCATCGATCGATGCCGGCCCAATGTGTGCAACTGTGTGCATGCTTGTTTTGCACGCACATAACCTGGAGAAACAGCATCAAATTCAAGATCGCTTCCTACTGAGTGGTTACAACATAATCTGAACAAGTAACAGTTGTCAGGTGAGTGGAATGTTTTTTCGTTGTGTTTCTATCTAGACTCTAGAGTTGGTATATCAATATCCATTAGTGGCTAGTTTAGGTATTACTCCCTCCGTTCACAAATATAAGATGTCTTACGTATTTTAATATGAATTACATACGAACAGAAATGAGTGAACAAACACGCTAAAATGTGTCTCCATACATTCAGTTTAGAAAAAGTTAGAACATCTTATATTTGTGAATGGAGAGTGTAGTACCGTATGTTTGTTGTGTTTCTGTCCTGAGTTTGATCGAGTTGATATATCAACCTAACGCGGTCGATGGATTCTGAGCTAATGCGATGAGAGGACCAAGAAGAGTCTTTCTCAAGTGGTTTGGGTTGCGAGGTGGAGCCATCCAATGACATAATAGTTGTGACACTAGTGGAGTTGAGAGAAGAAGCCTCATTGAGCGGTTGGGTCTCAGGACGGAGCCATACAATATTGTTGTCATAAGAGCGGCAACATTTGACAACCAGAGTTGGGTGTTCATCCAAGGACGAGAAAACAAAATTTTCATAGAAGAGAACTAGTGTGATTTAAGTACCCCCGCAACAAAATAAAAAACTGTGATTTAAGTAAGAAAATCAGACGCTTAACTGGTCAAATCTTTATTTGTCCACACACACACACGCCCTCATATGACCCAAACAACTAGAAAACCTACAACTCTATATACCCCAACCATACATATACATTGAAGTCCAAGGATAGTGCTAGCTGAAGTCCTAGACGCACACATTGAAGTCCTCAATGGATACACACATGACATCCACGATTGTTAGGCTATAGCCCTGCCGTGCAGGGGTCACATCGATCGTCGACCCCATGCATTTCGTTCTAATCCCGTCTCAAGCAAGCCACGTACTTGGCACACCAAGTGTCGACCACCGACCCCTTGCCCCGGGCCGTTTCCTCCTAGGTGCCAGGACAAGTGTCGGGCGGCCGGCCGGCCGGGCACACTCCCCGGCCGCCTTGGCAGCTCTCCAACGTCACAAAACTGGTGACGTCAACGTACGTAG